CGAGATCGCCATGAAACATCGCCTAGGTGGGTCTTTCTCTCTCTCTCTCTCTGTGTATCTCTCTCTCTCTCTCTCTCTCTCTCTGGGGGCACCGAGATCGCCATGAAACATCGCCTAGGTGGGTCTTTCTCTCTCTCTATCTCTGTGTATCTCTCTCTCTCTCTCTCTCTCTCTCTCTCTCTCTGGGGGCACCGAGATCGCCATGAAACATCGCCTAGGTGGGTCTTTCTCTCTCTCTATCTCTGTGTATCTCTCTCTCTCTCTCTCTCTCTCTCTCTCCCTCTGGGGGCACCGAGATCGCCATGAAACATCGTCTAGGTGGGTCTTTCTCTCTCTCTATCTCGGTATATCTCTATCTCTCTATCTCTGTGTATCTCTCTCTCTATATCTCTCTGTCTCTCTCTCTGGGCGCACCGAGATCGCCATGAAACATCGCCTAGGTGGGTCTTTCTCTCTATCTGTCTCTGTGTATCTCTCTTTCTATCTCTCTCTCTCTCTCTATCTCTCTCTCTCTACCTCTCTCTCTCTACCTCTCTCTCTCTCTCTGTCTCTACCTCTCTCTCTCTCTCTCTCTCTCTTTGTTATGGACTGCTTTCACTTTTATTAAAAATGGAGATAAGACAAGAAAGCTCTGAGGTCGCGACATGTCAGTAATTTCACGGAGGGGGGGAGGGACTGGGGAGGGGTTCTGTTGGGGACCTCTACGAGGCAATGGGGAGTCATGCACAGTCATTTACAATCATTCACAATCATTTGCAATGCAATCGTTAACAGTCATTTTCAGTCACTTACAATCAATTTCAATCATTTGTCGTCTAGTCATTTGCAGACATTTCAGTGACTTACATGACTATGGGGAGGTCAATACTGGGGGTGTACAAGGGAGTCTGGAAGCGACACGATCATTAACATTCGCTCACCGTTGTTTACAATCATTTTCCGTTATTTACAATTTCAATAATTTTCAATCATTAACAATTACTTACAATGCCTTCCACGACCAGGCTGGGGTCAGACGGCGACGTATATGAGGCGGTGTGGAAGCGGCACAATCGTTAACAGTCATTTTCAGTCGTTTACAATTTCAATCATGTACAATCATTTTCAATGAATAACAATCATTTTCAGTTGTTTACATTTACAATCATTAACAATCGTTTCAATGGCTTTCACGACCAGGCGGGGGTCAGTATGGCGATGTATACGAGGCGGTGTGGAAGCGGCACAACAAGACGGTGGCGGTGAAGACGCTCAAAGAGGACACGATGGCGCTGAAGGACTTCCTGGAGGAGGCGGCCATCATGAAGGAGATGAAGCACCCCAACCTGGTGCAGCTGCTGGGCGTGTGCACCCGCGAGCCGCCCTTCTACATCGTGACAGAGTTCATGCCGCAGGGAAACCTGCTGGACTACCTGCGGGGCTCCAACAAGGACGACATCGGCCCGACCGTGCTCATGTACATGGCCACACAGATCGCCAGCGCCATGGCTTACCTCGAGGCTCGCAGCTTTATACACAGGTAGATCTTATTATCTGTTTTATCACAGTACTGTCTGAAGCGTTCAGCTTTATGCACAGGTACACTGTCTCCTTTCTGATAAAACTATGATATCTGGGGCGCGCAGCTTTATACACAGGTAACTGTTTTGTCAGAATTATATCTGTTATACACAGGTAACTTTGTTTTATCGTAGTTATACCTGGAGGCTTGCAGCTTTATACACAGGTAACTGTTTGGTCCTAGTGATATCTGTTATACACAGGTAACTGTTTGGTCCTAGTGATATCTGTTATACACAGGTAACTGTTTGGTCCTAGTGATATCTGTTATACACAGGTAACTGTTTGGTCCTAGTGATATCTGTTATACACAGGTAACTGTTTGGTCCTAGTGATATCTGTTATACACAGGTAACTGTTTGGTCCTAGTGATATCTGTTATACACAGGTAACTGTTTGGTCCTAGTGATATCTGTTATACACAGGTAACTGTTTGGTCCTAGTGATATCTATTATACACAGGTAACTGTTTGGTCCCAGAGATATCTGTTATACACAGATAACTGTTTGGTCCTAGTTATATCTGTTATACACAGATAACTGTCTCCTTACTGGTAGTGATATCTCGGGGCGCGCAGCTTTCTACACAGGTAACTGTCTGATTACTGATAAAACTATAACTCCTGTGTACTGTGTGGATCCCTGTGTGCCAGTGTTAGCACCGATAAGTGGGTGGTTGGCGGATACTCTGGTGTGATTTGCTCCTTCTTTCCAATCAAACATCTATCGTCCTTATCTCCCCTTCTTATTTTTTATGTTTGTTACTCTCTTGTCACACCTCTAATCTTCTGGCGCTCATATGACTTTTTGCAGTTGCGAGCGCCGTAAAACCTCTACTTAAACTAAAACATAACTAAAATAAATGACACATGTGTATTATGTTGATACGTGTGTGCCTGTGTTAACACCTGTGTATTATGTCGATACGTGTGTGCCTGTGTTAAAACAAATGACACGTGTGTATCGTGTTGTATTTCCCAGGGACCTGGCTGCCAGGAACTGTCTGGTCGGTGACGCCAACCTAGTGAAGGTGGCCGACTTTGGCCTGGCGCGTCTGATGAAGGACGACACATACACGGCGCACGCCGGGGCCAAGTTCCCCATCAAGTGGACTGCCCCCGAGGGTCTGGCCTTCAACCGCTTCTCCACCAAGTCCGACGTTTGGGGTAGGTCGGGGTCGTCATATGGTTCGTTTTTTGAGTTTTGCAGCACGTGCAACGCAAAGTTAAAAGTTGTTCCCGTATCTGATCCGGACATCAGTGTGTTTATGAGGATGTGTGTGTGTGTGCTTGAGGGAGAGGAGGAGGAGAGGAGAGAGAGAGAATGGAGGGAGACAAAGAGGAAGAAAGTGTGGGTGGTCGGCGAGTGCTCTGGTGTGGTTTGCTCCTTCTTTCCTCTCAAACATCTATCGTCCTGATTTCTCCTGTTTCTTTTTTTTGTATGTTAATCTTCGGCAATTATATGACCTTATTGTGTTGCAAGTGCCATAAAACACTTCATCACTATTGCCTTTCTCTCCCTGGATCAGGATATAGGCCACGAACAAACTTTCCACCTTTCCCTATCCTGGGCTCGTCGCTTGATGTCACTCCACGTCTTCCCACTTTTCTGTACATCCATGTCCGTGACTCTGCTCCGGGTTCCACGAGGTCTTCCCCTTGATCTGTTCCCCTGTGGGTTCAAATCTAACACTTTCCTTGTTGTGCAGCTGCTTGACTTCCTGAGAGTGTGTCCAATCCATCGCCAACGTCTTCTTCCCACCTCATCTCTGACTGGACTCTTGTCTCCTTCTTAATCCTTCCTCGTTGATGATCCTGTCTGTCCATGTTACTAGAACTTATGTACCATTCTGTATCGTGTGTTGTCCCCAGTGCTTGGCGTGTAGATAACCATTGTGTATCGTGTGTTGTCCCCAGTGCTTGGCGTGTAGATAACCATTGTGTATCGTGTGTTGTCCCCAGTGCTTGGCGTGTAGATTACCATTGTGTATCGTGTGTTGTCCCCAGCCTTTGGCGTGTAGATAACCATTGTGTATGGTGTGTTGTCCCCAGCCTTTGGCGTGTAGATAACCATTGTGTATGGTGTGTTGTCCCCAGCCTTTGGCGTGTATATAACCATTGTGTATGGTGTGTTGTCCCAAGCCTTTGGCGTGTAGATAACCATTGTGTATGGTGTGTTGTCCCCAGCCTTTGGCGTGTAGATTACCATTGTGTATCGTGTGTTGTCCCCAGTGCTTGGCGTGTATATAACCATTGTGTATGGTGTGTTGTCCCAAGCCTTTGGCGTGTAGATAACCATTGTGTATGGTGTGTTGTCCCCAGTGCTTGGCGTGTAGATTACCATTGTGTATCGTGTGTTGTCCCCAGCCTTTGGCGTGTAGATACCCATTGTGTATGGTGTGTTGTCCCAAGCCTTTGACGTGTAGATAGCCATTGTGTATGGTGTGTTGTCCCAAGCCTTTGGCGTGTAGATTACCATTGTGTATCGTGTGTTGTCCCCAGTGCTTGGCGTTTAGATAGCCATTGTGTATGGTGTGTTGTCCCAAACCTTTGGCGTGTAGATTACCATTGTGTATGGTGTGTTGTCCCCAGTGCTTGGCGTGTAGATAACCATTGTGTATCGTGTGTTGTCCCCAGCCTTTGGCGTGTAGATAACCATTGTGTATGGTGTGTTGTCCCCAGCCTTTGGCGTGTTGCTGTGGGAGCTGGCCACGTTCGGCATGTCACCGTACCCCGGCGTGGATCTGACAGAGGTCTACCACCTGCTGGAGAAGGGCTACCGCATGGAGCGACCGCCCGGCACACCGCTCGACATACACACTCTCATGCTCAAATGTGAGGACCCACAAACCCCTGTGACCACTCTTTTTTTTGGGGTGTGGGGGGTGTGGGTGGTTGGTTGTAGGGAATTTGATGATAAAGATGATGATAATTGAAGTGGATTGAGTGCTAGATTGTTTCTAGACAGAGGAATAACTGGTAGCCATTTTGTGTCAACATCAAAACAATGTTTATTTCCTGTTTCGTAAGGGACGTAACTCACAAATACAAATGGTAATACAAATACATCAACAGTACATGATTAATTCCCTTTAATTATGGTTACTATATTGCAATAATAATAATGTGACCTTATATACTGCACCTATTTCCTAGAAGACTCTTAAGTGCTGTACATTGCAGAGTTGTCACCCAATCACCATCAAGTTCCAGGTCTGCGACAGACCCCCCGGGGCAGTGCTGCTGACTGTAGTGTCTTTTACCCCCAGGGGCAGTGCCACTGACTGTAGTGTCTTTAGGCCATTCCCAAAGGGGGGGACATTTCTCGTTCAAGCACAGTAGAATTGTAAATGGGCTGATTTATCATGTCACGCTCATAACTGTGCCTGATCTACAACAGGGAACTGCTGCTTTTTCTTTCCTAATCTTTACTATTGTCATTTTTCCTCTACTTCTTTTGTATGTTTGTCACTCTCTTGTGACCCACTATTTCCAGGGTGCCTTGATAGTCGAAGCAGACCTTGTGCTGTTGAAGCTAGAGAGGTGAGCAGTCTAAGTCTGATTCCCTGTAAAGACTTCTCTGTTGACATCCACCCCTTAGCGCTCATATGACCTTATGCAGTTGCGAGCGCCATAAAACCCTCTACTATAAAAAAAAAAAAAAAAAACCCATCTGCTATTACTAAAAGGTGTGGGACAGACTGTGGCCATCTTGTGATCATGGTTCCCCATTGAATCCTGTGCTTGGACGCTCTCAGAAAAGTCATGTTATCCGTCCATCTGTTTAGGCTTTCCTTGCAAGTTGGGTCAACCCGTGCTTTGTTTGCCTTTGATATAAAGTTTGTAAATTAATAAGATGAATATTTGGAATAATTTTCTTTAGTCAGAACACAACGTTTTATGTTACTGTTGTATGTTGTACTGTATTGTAAAGCGCTCAGAGCCTGTGTACTTTATTCGGGGTTGAGCGCTTTATAAATGTCATTTATTATTATTATATAACTGACATCTAAAATGACAGAAAATGATTCTTCTGAGGCTACTTAACAGCACCCACACATACACATACACATACACCCACACATACACACACACAACTCCTAGACCCATATAAGATACGTCTTTATTGTCCAGATATATGTGATATAACGTGGTGGAATCAGGCGCTCGTCAATTTTGGGGGAACACAGGTGAGTTTTTAGTTTGGAATTTCTCTCAGCTCTGTTGTAATCACCGGCTGACCTTTTTTTTCTTCTCCCCATTCACCTTTCCAGGTTGGCAGTGGGATCCCAAAGATCGGCCAACTTTCAAGGAAATCCACTTTCTCCTAGAAAACATGTTTGAAAAGTCCAGTATTAACGAAGGTATGCGCTGTGTGTCAATTTGCTGTATACAGTATTAGCGAAGGTATGCGCTGTGTGTCAGTTTGCTGTATACAGTATGAACGATGCGCTGTGTGTCAATATGCTGTATACAGTATTAACGAAGGTATACGCTGTGTGTCAATTTGCTGTATACAGTATTAACGATGCGCTGTGTGTCAATTTGCTGTATACAGTATTAACGAAGGTATGCGCTGTGTGTCAATTTGCTGTATACAGTATTAACGAAGGTATGCGCTGTGTGTCAATTTGCTGTATACAGTATTAAAGATGCGCTGTGTGTCAATTCGCTGTATACAGTATTAACGATGCGCTGTGTGTCAATTTGCTGTATACAGTATTAACAATACGCTGTGTGTCAGTTTGCTGTATACAGTATTAACGATGCGCTGTGTGTCAATTTGCTGTATACAGTATTAACAAAGGTATACGCTGTGTGTCAGTTTGCTGTTTACAGTATTAACGATGCGCTGTGTGTCAATTTGCTGTATACAGTATTAACGAAGGTATACGCTGAGTGTCAATTTGCTGTTTACCAGGGTTCGTTCGTGTCTGGGAAAACTGGAAAAGCCTTGGAATTTTGGGAAATTGGCAAAATTCTTGAAAAAACCAATTTTAAACTAGATCTATTGTAAAAATATTTCCTCGAAGTTTAGAAGGCCTCGACTTTACGCATTCTAAAGTATACCATAATGTAATTTTGCATGCTGAACGAAAAATGTTCTTCCGAAGTGACACGTTATTTGTCTTGGAAAAAAGAATTCTGGTCTTGAAAACTCTTGGAACAAAACCTCTCCTGTTCAGTGTGACCCCTGGTATACATCATTTTCGTACGCTTCAACTGCCTGCAGTTTTCACATCTGATGTGACCAGTCTTTCCCCGGGGATAGCATGATGGATGCAGCCTGGGGCAAAGGTTCAGATGTTCTGTGTCTCTTCTCATAGATTTGGGTTTAAATCCAAAATGTTTCTTTCCCGTGGTCGTGTATTCAAACTTGAGCTAGTTGTGGGGCCGGTGGGTGGAAGGCGAAGGATGAGACGGGTGGATGAGTTGGGGGGTGTGTTGTAGATGTATCTCTCAACATGTATCTCTCAACTATAAGTTGTTGGATATGTGTGGTGGATCTATCTCTCAACTATAAATTGTAGGATATGTGTGGTGGATCTATCTCTCAACTATAAGTTGTAGGATATGTGTGGTAGATCTATCTCTCAACTATAAGTTGTAGGATATGTGTGGTGGATCTATCTCTCAACTATAAGTTGTAGGATATGTGTGGTGGATCTATCTCTCAACTATAAGTTGTAGGATATGTGTGGTGGATCCATCTCTCAACTATAAGTTGTAGGATATGTGTGGTGGATCTATCTCTCAACTATAAGTTGTAGGATATGTGTGGTGGATCTATCTCTCAACTATAAGTTGTAGGATATGTGTGGTGGATCCATCTCTCAACTATAAGTTGTAGGATATGTGTGGTGGATCTATCTCTCAACTATAAGTTGTGGTTGAAACCTGCCAGATTGCATATATCGTGCTCATCCATTGCCCCTCTTTACTTCCACTGCAACTGGGTTGGCAATATATTTTTGTGTGCAAATCGGCTAAAATGTGGCTGGTAACAACATTTTTGTGACAACTTTCATCTTTTTAAAAATGTGGATAATGTCTGAGCTTGTAGAACGTGTCATTATCTCCCTCCAAGTTCTGGCCTTTTTACTGAAGTCTGTCCACTTCACTCAAGTATTTTCAGTGCTTCCAATCTTCCGTGTTGTTATGGAAATCCACACTTTCTGCTTGTTCCGTACTTGCTCCCCCCCCCCCCCCCCTCCCCGTCATCATCAACTCACTCGGTGTATCTTTCCCCTCTACTTGTTACAGAGGTTGAAAAAGAGCTGGAGAAGTCAGAACGACGAGCTCCTAGTTTGCCTTCCAAGAAAAACCGCAGTCAAGATTCTCCCGATTTCATGAATGACGGTCGCAGCAGTGCAGGTATGTTGGGAGGTTTTGTGTTGTGTGTGTGTGGATAGCTCACAGGTTTCTGTCCCCCCCCCCCCCCGGGCAGTGCTACTGACTAGTTGTCTTAAGGGGGGATATTAACCCGTTCTTATGCGCAGTAGATTGTAAATGGGCTGACTTATCAATGTCATGCTCATAACTGTGCCTGATCTACAACAGGGATTTGCTGCTTTTTCTTTCCTCATTCTTACTATCATCATTTTCCTCTACTTCTTTTGTATGTTTGTCACACTCTTGTGACCCGCTATTTCTGGGGTGCCTTGATAGTCGAAGCAGACCTTGTGCTGTTGAGGCTTGAGAGGTGAGCAGAGTAAGCCTGATTCCCCGTTTAGACTTCTCTGTTGACATCCACCCCTTGGCGCTCATATGACCTTATGCAGTTGCGAGCGCCATAAAACCTCTACTAAAACAAACAGCGGTTTCTGTTCTCAGCGGGGATGATCTAGTTGCATGAACGCCGTCTGTGTTCTCTACAACCCTCTCTGCCAAGGTTGGCCCTGTGGGTGGTTGACGGGCGCTCTGGTGTGGTTTCCTCCCTCTTTCCTATCAAACATCTATCATCCTGATCTCTCCTGCTTTTTTATGTTTGTTACCCTCTTGTAACACCTCTAATCTTCTGGCGCTCTTTGACGTTATGCAGTTCAAAGCGTCGTAAAACCTCTACTAAAACCAAAAAAACAAAAATTTTCTCCCACACCAAACGACGGTGATCTGTTTACTTGCTCTCTCGCTACTTTGCCTGTGGGTGGTTAGCAGGTGCTCTGGTGTGGCGTGCTCCTTTTTTCTAATCAAACAGCTGCTGTCCTTATCTCCCCTCGTTCTTTTCTATGTGTTACTCCATGGCCACTCCTCTAATTTCCTGCATTTTTGTTACCGTGTTGTGTTGCAAGTGCCGTAAATGGGTAGTTGGTGGGTGCTCTAGTGTGGTTTGCTCCTTCTTTCCTATCAAACATCTGTCGTCCTGATCTCTCCTTCTTCTTTTTTATGTTTATCACTCTCTTGTAACACTTCTAATCTTGTAGCGCTCATATGACCTTATTGTGTTGCAAGTGCCGTAAATGGGTGGTTGGCGGGTGCTCTGGTGTGGTTTGCTCCTTCTTTCCTATCAAACATCTATCGTCCTGATCTCTCCTCCCTGTTTTTTGTGTGTTTTACTCTCTTGTAACGCCTCTAATCTCCGGCACTTATATGACCTTATTGTATTGCAAGTGCCGTAAAACTCTGACTAAACCAAATTCCCCTCCTGTCTGTGGTGTCAGGTCCGACCCCGCCCACGGGGAGACGCGTGCTGCCCTCGCTGGAGGAGACAGAGGTCACCCTCACCAAGGTCAACGACGCCCTGGCCAGGAAGTCTTCGAGAAAGAAACCCGGCAAGTCTGCGCCGCTGCCCCCTCGGAGAACGACCTCTGTCAAGGACGGGGCGGGGCCCGAGGCCGGGCCGGGGGGCGTGGATCTAGACGCAGAGCTCAAAAACCGGATACGGATGCAGAAAGCCAAACTGGAGAACTCCTCTCTGGCCGAGGTGAATGAGTCGGAGTTCATCGACAGTGGCCTTGGGATGGAGTCTCAGCCGCACCACGGCCACCCCCTCCTGCCGCCCGGCGCCTCTGTCCCTCCCCTGGGCAAAGGTCAAGGTCACCTGGGCTCGCCGACGGTGGCCCGCGAGGACAAAGCCAGCAAGACAGCCGTAGACAACCTGAAGGCAGCTCAAATCGACCGGTCCAAGTACCTCATCTCCGAGGTGAACGCGCGCAGCTTCGACAAACACGCGCCGGAGCGCAGCAGCTCGCGGAGTCTGGGCCCGCGTGTGGGCGAGCGGTCCGAGTTTAGCGACGTGCACGGCTCCCAGTACCCCAAGAAGGCACTCCTGCCCCCGCACCACTCCGCTCTGCTGCCTCGCAAGAAGCTCTCGGAGCCCTCGGGACCACATGAGCTGACCCACAGCGTGAGCGTTGACGACGGCGAGCTAGAGGAAGCAGCCGGGAACCCACGGCTCGGCAAACTGGACGTGACAAATGTCGCCAAGGCCATAAACCGCTACGGTACCATCCCCAAGGGTGTGCGGATCGGGGCGTATCTCGAGTCAATGGAGAGGGAACAGGAGGGCAGAGGTCACGACCTTCCGGCCGTGGAGGACCAGGACTCGGGCACGGACAGCGCCAGCGTCACTTCCTGTCCGCCGCTGGTGGGTGAGCACAACACGCTGGCTGACGGCGGGCCTGGGGGGAGGGTGGGCGGGGTGCGGGCCGAGGGAGTCAGCGAGGACTCCGACCCCGGCATCAAGCAAGAACCGAACCTCCGGCCCTCGGCCTTTGTCAAGTCTCAGTCACAGCACGGCATAGGAGAGCCCCCGGGGGGTGGTGGGGGCGAGGGTCGGGGGCCGACCCACGGCCCGGTGGTGGGGTCAGGGGGTCAGGTCAAGTCCCAGTACTCGGGCCTCCTACAGCGCCACAAGTCTGACCTATCAGCGTCCAGTAAACCCAGCACCCCCTCGGAGGAGCACGGCCTTGGGATGACCACCTCCACCGCGGCCAGCACCCCCTCCCCAGGCTACCCC